GGTCCCCTGTTCAGACTAAAGAAATTCACACAGGCTCTGAAGAACACCAAGCATCTCTCCTCACTATTCCTGAAGAAGTTCCAGCCACTAGCGCTGATGAAAATGTTGGTGTAGAGATGGAGGCCAAGGCTGCTGAAGAGACTGCCACTGAAATTCCTCAGCCTGTGGCTCCAGAGACTGTGATTCAAGAGGCTGTGACGACTTCAACAGTTAATCTTCAGCCCAAGCCTCAAAATCCTCACTCCAAGAAGCAGAAGTTCAAGGCTGATGACTTCTTTGCTGAGCACATATTCTTCACGGATTACAATCCTTATGACTCTGCAAGACTTAGACATAAGCGCTTCTGGACAGCAAGTCAAATGAACTTCTATTCCTCACTGCTGTTTGATAAAGACAAGATCTTTGACCATGAGCAAATTCCTCATGTGGATATGGAGTCACTGCCCTGCTTCACCCCAGGCCTCAGTGTTCTTCATGACGCTCGGCTGCTCAACCTCTGCACTGACATCTACGACTGGAATGAAGAATTCATTCTTCAGTTCTATGCCACGTTGCACATCATTGGCAATGTTGAAGACGTCAATTCATGGGTGTTGGACTGGATGACTGAAAATACTCACTACAAAGCTCCGGCCTCTGAATTGCTTCACGTCGTCCCATTCAGTCCTCCCACTGAGGTGCAAGGCGCCTCTATGATGAACCTGAGCTTTCAAATCATCTGCTGCAAGTGCTGATGAAGCCTTTGAAGCCAGGCCAAGCTCCGAGAACCAAATTCCTTGTCAAGGAACTGCTCTATGTGCCAAGGACAATATACAAGATATTGACCAAAACCCTCAGTCCAATCAAGGGCCAGAACTCTGATGATGAAGAAGTTGTTGGCATCATGAAGAATCTGCTTTTCAACATCATACATGTTATTCCTATCAACTACCACGATTTCTTCATCAGGACTTTGGCTAATGTCGCTCTATCACCATTTGAATTGAAGCATTACGCTCCCTGGATCATGAGATTCATCAGATCAAGGTCTTCAATTCATTACAAGGCTGATTGTCAACGTCATCTTAGCTATTTGCCCCCAATTGAAGTCCTCAAACGGACTATTTCCTCAACTAATGAGAAGGGCAAGGCTGCTGTAATTGATGAAGGTACTCGTCCATTGGATGGACAGTTTCGCAAAGCTGCATCCTACTCCACTAATGATGACTCAACCACTCATGACACTGCCACAAGTGCTTCAAAGCAATTTCCTCAAGCCACTACTCCAAGGGTGATGACTGATTGTGAGCTTCTCCCCAGTCTTCATCAGAAGGTCGATCGCAACCACAAATGGGTCAAGCGATAGTTTGGTTCAATTCTTCAGAACATGACAATCACGCAGAACACTATGAAGAAGAACCATTACTATCTGCATGAAGTGTTTGATCGCACCTGGGCTGTACTGTCTCACCTCTATGGTGAAGAAGATCTCAAGCAAATGGGCTTCAAGCAGGACTTTGACTGGTCTCATCCATCTTCGAAGAAATTCAAGAAGGTCAAAGTTCCTCACTTGGTGGCCAACTCATATTCTTCATCGCGCGAGACTGATGAACATGAAGACTTGTACGACACTGCTGCAGGCCCTACATTAACGGGCGACCCCAACAACGCTGGCGCTCCTCCATCGACTTCATGATGATATTTTTTAGGGGCGTTAGTCCTCATTTTTCGTACCTTTTGGTCACTCGATGACAAAGGGGGAGAAATTTGAGTTAGTCATCAAGCGGGTCTCTATATATGGGCATTTTTTTGCTAAGTTACAACTCTCGTTCTTCTGAAGCATTTGTTGGATCGAGTTGTAAACGTAAGTCTGATGGTGGTCTGATACTTTTGCTATGTTTTTCTGCATGCTATTCCCTCATATATGTTAATGCACGCATGCTGAATTACATCAGTCACCATATTTCATCATGCACTTCAAATTCTTCATATCATATGTTAAATGTGTGTATGAATTACAAGATATAGGGGGAGGTCTCCATGATTCTACTCTACAATGTGCAATTGCTATTCAAGGCAAATTCCTCACATATGCACATCTTCAGGGGGAGTTCTTCTATATATTGCAATCAAATTCCTCAATATCAGTATTTACACTTCATATGTTTATCCCCGTTGAAAACTTAACCTATATTGTCATCAATTACCAAAAAGGGGGAGATTGTAAGTGGATCTAGTGTCCCTTAGTGATTTGGTGTATTGAAGACTTATAGGTTAAGGGACTAATGTGTTTATGAGTGTACACAGGTCTATAAGTCTATGAGGAGTTTGATTTTTACAGAGAAAGTCGACCCTTAAAAATGAATGTCTTCAACTGAAGACTTTGAAAGTGAAGAAATTGGTGTGACCCTGAAGACTTGATATTCATGCGAGGAATATGAAGCGTGAAGACTTTGTTTTCGTAGTTTCATTTTCTCTTTCTTGAGTCATAGGAAACACCATACTATTAAAGGGGACCGAGATAAAACTAAGGAAAAGTTTCCAAGTGATGCTCATCTGAAAATCCTACACCTACCAATCCTTTCGAGTGAAGCGATTGGAAATCTCATACAGTTCAGTCAATTTCTTCAATGACAGAGACGAAAATTTTCTGGTCTCTGAAGAATTTGTTCTGACTAAGGAGTTAGGAATTCACTAGTGCGAATTGCCTACAAGTGAGGAACATGATAGCCCTAAGGAATTTTATAGTGAAATTTCCGACCATTGCTATGCTATGCGCCAGCTGTCCCAAAATATCTACCCACCTAAGGGTCATATCATTGAAGGGCATTTATGTCTTATCATGTCGGGCTGCTCCCTAGGTTATAAATAGCCGCCCCTACAACCACTAGCTGGTTGGCTGCTCCGCGAGAAACTGACACTTGTCATTGAGAGTATCCCATCCTCCGAGGGCTTTGAGCGTAAATCATCAAGTGAGGAAAATCCAAACCCAAACACCTACAAACCCAAAGTGATTGAGCATCACTGAAGAGATTGTTCTTGTGTGGAACTGACGCTTGTTACCTTTGAGGACTGTGCATCCTTCAGACGGTTAGGCGTCATGGTCTAGAGCATCCAATAGGAAATTGTGGATCGCTGAGTGACCGAGTCTGTGAAGGTTTGGAAGTCACCTGAAGACTTACCATGAGTGATCAGGCGAGGTCTGTGTGACCTTAGCTCAAGGAGAATACAATGAGTATTGTGTGTCCTCAGGTTTAAATACCTAGCCGCTCCAACCAGACATACGACTGTCACATCAGTTGGAAATGGTCTACCAAATCATCGTCTTCACCAAGCTGCTGGTTCTATTTCCTCAACTCTTTCATTTCCTCATTTTTGTGTAGAAGTACTTGATCATTACTGTTTGAAGACTTTGACTGAAGACTTTCTCAATTTCCTCAATCCTATTTCTTCAATCAGTTTGTCTTCAGCCTGCTTATCTTGTGTTTACGCTACTTGTACTCTGTGCTTGTTTTCATTTCATCATGATGACTGTGCTACTACTCTGTTATGCGTGCATCTGAGTACTTATTCCGCTGCTAAGTAGTTTTTTGCTTAGGAATTTCCTCATCCTGAAATTCCTCAGTGACGAATTTGTAAAAATCGCCTATTCACCCCCTCTAGTCGATATAACACACCTTTAGCTAATTATGATGGGATTCATGAGACACGGGAGAGACCGAGGTGGGCAATGATGCAACGAGTGGGGGCTCTCCGATTTAATCTAGACACACATATTTGAGGGAGAGAGTGGGATTCATGAGCCCATTTGGAGATTAAATCGGTGCTTCATGCGTCCAGTCGACTAATCAAACTTGATTCGTGAATCACATGACCAAAGGGTGGGGTCATGGGGAGTACATCACCTATTCTGTTCCAGATGCCTTGAAGGGAGATTGTGGGATTTGTGAGTCCATGGAACAAAGGCTGCAGACTGCTTAGCAGGATATAGTCGTATCATAGCATGACTATGTGGTTGGATCTAGGACCTTCATGTAAGAGAAAATCTTACCTCTAAATTATAACCGTGTTACTATGGAATAAAAATCCTATTAAACATGTGAAAAAAGCCAAGTAGTTATGCTTTCCCTTAATATTTATATCCACATCAATGGCCATGTATATTCCACAAGATGTGATTTATCAGCCACATAATTCTTAGCTTTTGTTGCATCATATTTGCTGAACAGTGAATAAAATGACATATCTTCTAGATTAATTACTCAACAACTTTTGTTCCACTCTATTTATATAGTGGAAAATTAATCATCTATAGCAGTGCTATCGTGGTTTTAGCAGGTAAAGGTGCACACACTTTTTATTTTTACCCGTTGGAACGCACGGGCCTTTTTGCTATATCTATCCCTAATCCCTAATCCCTAATAATAATAAAGCACGGATTGACTTCGTGGGTTCACCGTCACAATACACTTTTTTCTCATGTTATAATACGCTTTTATAATTTGTATGAATAAAATCGTAGTATAAACAAGGTGGTACTAATTTGGCTCGGGTGCTGCGTAGGCAGAGGAGATATGCGAGGAGGTTGGCGATCTACGCAGCAAGCGGCGGTAGCGGCAGGCTGAGACGGCATGCGGACTACCGCCAGGGGCGGCAGCTTGCGGTGGTCGGAGCACGAGAGGAGCAGAGAGCAGCGGCGCGTCTGCGAGGGAAGATGACGGCGCATCCATTGGAGGCGACCTCGGGGCAGAGGGCGTCCAGTGGATCCTGGCCCTGGAGGCGGTCTTGGAGTGCCGCCGGCTGAAGCACGTCAGGAGTGACGACGGCTCCATGGGAGGCGACCTCGGGGCAGAAGGGGCGAGGTACCGGTAGGCGGCGGTCTGGTGGTGGTTCGCCGGGCGGCAGGGTCGGTCGGGCACGTGGGGATCGAGCGCGTCCCCCCTGATGGCGTTGAGCATAGCGGCACACGACCCCAAGACAACAGAGAGAACAGAGAGAGGAAAAAAGGCTCAGTAGCGGCGATGGCGAGCGGCGGCGGTTTGATGACGAAGAAGGAGCTCGGCGAGACCCACGACGTCCTCCGCTTTGGCGTCAACAACAGCGTCCATGGCGACCTCGCGCTAGCGCACCCCGTCCAGGCCACCATCAAGGTAAACCCTCCTCGATCCGCCCCCGTTCATTCCCCCAAACCCTAGCGCGTGCTGAATCAGAGTTTTTTTTTCTTTTTTTGGTGCGCGCGCGTGTAGGAGGCCAAGTTCTGGGATAAGAAGAAGAAGTTTGGGACCGAGGCCATCTACGGATCGACCTTCAACATCCGCAGGGATCTCGACACCCAGATCCTCTCCAGGTTGGTTCTCTCACTGCCCCCCTCCTGGAAATAGGTTTTGTCTAACTAAAGAGCCACCGGTATTAGATTTTTTTAGCGGTATGATCTGGGAGCTGCAGTTGTTGGGGTCGTCAATTCGACCTTACTTCTTTTGTTTTGTTGAGCAAATCAGGGCCCCTACCTTTAGATTATTACATCTAGAAGCGCACACGCTTAACGCTTGTGAATGAGAGTTTTACAAACCAGAGCACAGCAAGTGCATCCGGAGTGATTGATGCATTAGGGAGAGAGGGGGAGTTCAGTTTTGCCAAATTAATAGAGAGCCTTTCATCTTTTCCTGCCCTGTGCGCCCATATTTTGACCAAATTCACACATTGTTTCATGACTGGAGGTATATTAATGTCATCAGAGACCTTTCGATTCCTTGCAAGCCAAATGGACCAGAGAGTATATGGTTCGTTGTTTTTGTCTCACAGAGAAGCTTGTCACCCGTGTTAAAAATGCCAGCCGATTCTTTCACATCATCTAGCCTTATGCCCATAAGGCCCCATATATGTTTCATCCTGATGCACTTCAGAGTTAAATGTGCAAACGTTTCTTGGTCGTTGCATCCAAAGGGGCAGGTATCACTGTCGTCGAGTCCTTGCTTTTTAAGGAGCTCTCTGACTTTGATATGGTTTCTGATGAGCATCCAGGCATTTTTTTTCCTTTTTTGGTGACGAGCAGTCCCAAATACACCGATAAATGAGCTCAGTACATCCTCCAAAATTCATAAGCTGATGGGATTTCCTGACTGAAAATTCCACTGAGTGGTTCATTCTAAGAGCTCGTTTATCCAAGGATCCAACCTTGAGATAGACAGAACTGAGGAATTGAGCTAGAACCTTGAGTTCGCTGTTGGCCTGATCAGATGTAATATGCTGTGCGTGCACAGTCCATTCCCCACCTCTCCTGCAGTCAGCCACAGAGATGTTTGGTCTAAATCCTGAAAGAAGCTAGAAGAAAAATCATCTGGGCCTGGCTTTTATCTTGTGGAATATCTTTAGTCACTTCCCAAATCTCTAAGTAAAATGTGTAGGTAGGCTGGATAAATCAAATGAATTTGGATACAGCAGATTTAGATCGATAAAAGTGAAGTGGACATGACTGCAAGGTTTAAATTCAAACATATTTGAATTTAATTCAAATGGGTAACTAGGACTAGGTTCTAGAAAGTGCCCAAAAATGTTGAGATTTTTTGTGTGGAGCTTTGATAAATGCAGAAAGATTTGTGGGCAAGGATTTGGGGAATTTGAGATGGCTTTAATTTAAATAAGTCATCTTTAGTGCTGCTGGACTGTAACATTCAGACATACCATCGACCCTAAGGCTCTTTTTTTTAACAGAGTATGAGACGCTAATGCTCTTTTCGTGATTAATGATTGGTATACATTTCTTTTAGACTTTATTATCATGCTGGATTCTATGTTGTTGTGTATTTTGTTTGACGGGACAACTAGCATGTTCTTCGTAGTGAATTCATTATGGGACATTATGCTTATGTATAACAACAACAAAATTGAAAAAAGAAATACATTAATTTTGTTTCTCCCATTGCAACGCACGGGCATATGTGCTAGTATATACTATACTATACTATATATATATATATATATATATATATATATATATATATATATATACAAATAATAAAGTATAGATTGACTCTATCGGGTTCACCATCGCATTCTTTTTACACAAAGGTCCCTATACTTTTTAAGAATCAACCCACAGTCCGCATCATTACTATCTGTAAGTCAGCCTACCGCTTCGATTTCTTCCCTGTTCATCACATGCCCTCGCCTATCCCCACACATGATCTCCAATTTCAGACCGCCTGGTCGCTGCCGCCGGGTGCCGCTCTGCCCCAAGCACGTCTCCTACTCAGGCTTGCCCTCTTCACCCCCCTCTCCAATCGTCCCCAAATGGAAATGCCCCAAGCTCCCCTCGCCGGGCCGCTAACCACATGCGCCGCCCGCACGCGGCCACGTCTCGCCCGATTTTCCATTGCACATCTCCTACCTTGGGGTCCAGCGAGCGGTGCCGGCAGCCATGGCTAATTGCCACGGGTGTGGCCCATCCGAGCTCCGATTTAGGCAGGTCGACCGGGTGTCCTTCGGGGCTCGACAGTGGCGGGTGCGGCCAATCGGAGCTCCGGTTTAGGAAGGTCGACCAAGTCTCCTCCGGGGCTCGACGGTGGCGTGGCCAGCCCGGTGGAGACAGACGCATCCAGTCTCAGCTGCCACGCGATCGTCCCTCTATGTGTCGGCTACTGCTGCACCCCACACTCATATAATTAAGCCAACACTGGGAAATTGATATTTTCATTCAGAGTCAGACTAACCGCCTCTTCAATTCTGGTTGATTTGTGGTTTTGAGACTCACGCAAGCAGGTTATGCGCTCATGGAGGAGAACCTGCTGTTCCTGGGGGCCTGGAAAGCAGTTGACAACGCTACTACTTGTGACGAGCTGTGTACACAAGGGAAGAGACATATGACTCCAAATGTGCAAAGTCTGCAAGTCATCACGTGCCACTTCATATTTGAGAAAGTACAACTGAATTTGATAATTTGATTAAATGTAGTTATCATGCACCTCCTTTGGTTGAATCTAAATTCTGTTAGAAACATGGCAACCCACCTAAATATAACATCGATCTGTACAAACTGAGAGATGTTGTGTTTTTACATTTCTTATGTGGTCTGACCAAATTTGCTAGATGCATGCCTTCATACTTTAGTGATAAAATAGATATAATTAATAGATGTATTCATGTATGGTTGATTGGATTCTTGATGTCGACCCTATACATGTGCAGCTAATCTTGGATTCTAGGCATAGGGGCCGAGTTACCAATACCCGAAGAATGCTCTGTAGTTGCTTATATAGCTTTGGTTCTTTTCAAGATTTATTTGTACTATCCCGGAGTTCATTAATTTGTTTGCCAAATTAGGAGGCGCTTGGTTACAGTCTGAAAGACATTTACCATGTTTGTGTGTCTGGACAAATTCCCTGAAATTTTACATCCTTTGTACTGTCAATTCCTCTACTGCTTCAGAACCAATAATGGGATTTATTTATTTTGCTTTAAAGAGCTTTCTGCTTTGTAGTTTAGTTTGTTGTCTGCTGCTGACCCTGAGTATTTGCTTGCTGCACAGGTTGAGTTTGCATGTGAGACACTGGAGAGCCCCACTCTGCTCAACTTGAAGGTGCTGTTGCTGAACTTGTAAAGGTGCAACAAGAAGAGGAGGCTGCCTAGAATTGCTATATTGAAGCGGGATCTGCTGGAAGTTACCTTTGGCCATCCACTGATTTATTTGTTGGGAGGAAGGGCCCTTGCTGGAAGTGTGGAGGGAATCCCCATGGTGGCGGCACTCCTGGTTCAGGGTAGCTGAAATAGCCCGGGAACCACAACAACGACATTTACATCTACCAGACTGATCGAACTGCTGGAAGGAGTTGTTCTGGCTGCGTGCCCCTTTCTCCCTTTGTGTAACATCCCAAAATTCTAAATTTTGGAATGTTATATTAAATAATTAATTATGACTGTTTGTTTGATTGTTGTGTGAATGATGTTGTGAAATTGAGTGGAAATTGATTTTCTTTTGAAAGTTGAATGAGAGGGAATAAAAGGACTTTCCCAAAACTTTCATCTTGCATTTTTCTTGATCTCCATGAATTCAAAGTCATCTCATCACAAGACCCTAGAGTGAAGATAATATGACTTCTTCCATTTGAAGAAATAAAAAAGGGGTTGAAAATAATTTGAATTCCATTTGAAAAATTTCAAATTTAGAAACTTTAAGCAACTCAATGAGTTCATGGGGGAAGATGAAATGACTTCTTCAAATTCTAAGAAAGAGAGTTGTAAGTTTCAAAGGAATAATTTGAAGTCACTTTGAAGTTATTTGAATTTCCAAGTTTCAAATCCTCTTGGAAATTATTTAGTTTTAATTCAAATTATTTTTCTCCTAAAAATAAATAAATATAAATAAGGGTAAAATGATTCCCTTCAATGGAAAATTAGGAGAAAATAAGTTTGAAATAATTTTGCTATTTTAAAAATGATTTTTATTGATTTTAAAAGCAACAGTAGCACTGTTTGACTTTTATGAATTTTTATGGAATTTAGTTGAACTTGAGAAATAGTTCATCTTATTCTTGGTAATTTTCTGACTCCCCTACTCCTCGCGCATCTCCTTGACATCTTGCTTTGTCTTAGTTCGAGCCGGAACAACGCCTCGATCGACACCGACCTCGCCGGAGCGCCCGAAGCACAGGTGCTCTGCCGCCTTCGCCCCTCTCGACTCCGACGCCCCGAGGAACCCCGCCACCACCACCGAGCGCGTAGCGTCGCGCCGCATCTCCCCGTCGCCTTCCCTGCCGCCGAGGACCGCCGCAGCCGCCGCCCCACCGACGGATAGCCCCGCCGGAGCACGGAGCCCCGTCGTCCTCGCGCCGCCCATCCGGACGCCCCGAGGATCCCCGCCACCACCACCGCGACGCCCGCGCCATGCCGCACCCCTCCGTCCACTTCGCCACCGTCGAAGCCCGCCGAAACCGTCGCCCCATCGACGCCGAGGTCCTGGCCAACGCCGGCGCCGCTGCAGTTGCCCTCTGTGAGCCGCCCGGCCTCCTCGTTCTTTTCTAAGTCTAGGTTTTTTTTGTGAACCGTTACACGAAAAAAATCACCGGTTTTATTTTTAAACCGGCCGGTTCACTTAGTTTAGCCGCGGTAGCCCGTTTTTCTTATATGTCGACCGTTCACCGGTTAAGCTCCGCAATGAATGGGTATGCACCAGTAGGAATTTGCCACGTGTCAGGGACCTGTTTGTGATAGTTTTCTTCACTGTTTAGTCCCTGTAATTAGCAGATTAGTCCCTAAACTTAGAATAGCCACAACTTTTTAACCGTAAGTCCAAATTCGACGAAACCAGCGGCAAACTGTTCGTCTCGAATAGCTTTATCCAGAGAACCAGCTTTGAAAACTTATGGCCAATTTCAAATTTGAATTTATTCAGGTCTGAATTCAAACTTCAACTGGCCATATCTCCTAAACCGTAGCTCCGATTGATGTGATTCTTTTTGCACCATGTCACCGTAGCCAAACCCTACCACTTGGACCATTGTCACATATTTTCACACACCTAGGATCTGTCCATGATAGTTTTATTACTATGCAAGTATGGACGATAGATCACATCACGGTTTTGCACCTTATGTCACTTATTGTTGGCACCTAGAATTATTTGCATGCAAGTTATGTGTGTTGGGTTTCCATTTGGTTTTCCGAGTCCTTTGTGTTGCATGTTATTGCTCTCTGGAATGATTGCCTATGTATGCTATTTTTACTTTGATGATAGACTGTCCAGAGTGCGAAGCCGAGTATTATCGATCTCTAGAATTCAACTATCAGTATCAAGGCAAGTTCACATTTGACCATACTTTTAATTAGCTATGTTTTTTATCTGCACTTAGTCCATTATAGTAGGAATGCATGGTAGGAAAATTTATGCAGGTTGGCTATGTTTTTACCTAGTAGTTCATTGAGGTAGGTTTGAACCATATACCTTTGTCACCACCGCTTAAGTTTAATTTTGCCTCGCCAATGTAGACGTGGATTGGGAAGTGTTCATTGTGAGAGAAGAGTGACAAAGTAGTAAGTAGGACCAAGATAACTTAATGAACTACCTGGGCGGAGGTTTGGTTTGAATGGTGGCGAAGTACAGTGGGAGCATGCATGGGAAATCCATGGTGGTGCACCACTAGTGGTCCGTCCGCCCATGCTCAAAGAGATCAATCGTATTCTCATGTCTAGAAGCTTACGTGTGCAGCCACAAGCCAATATGGGTTCTGGCTTAGTTGAGTAGTTAGTGTGACCCCTTCCGGGAGGGGATAGCAGATGTAGAATGAGTAGGTGTACCGGCCTATCCATGGATTAAGGGGAAATACTTTCGAAAGACTATGTTTCGGTCATCCTGTTCTCAAACACTAGGCAGTGCGAGAATTTCAAGGGAGGCGATCGAGTCTTGTGGGAAAAAGTGCGCAAACCTCTGCAGAGTGTTAAAACCTAATCAATTAGCCGTGTCCCTGGTTACAGACAACTTGAGCATCTAGTAGTGGAAATGCTGGGAGATCTCATCACTCTTAATTAAACAGTTGGGTTTTAAATGAAACTTTGGGAATGGATTGAGTTGGGTTTACCAACTCATCCTATGCTATACAATAGTGGTAGAATAATATCTTTTATTCTAGGAAAAAACTAGCTTTATGCAAAAAACTAAACTTAGAGCTTTCCACCAGCCAAATTGCATGTACAAATAGGTTCATTATTCTTATGATGTGACTTGCCAGTACATTCAATGTACTGACCTACAGGGCTGCAACGTCTTATGTTGCAGGAATTTTCTACGATGAGTAAGAGTTACATTGTAGGGTTACGGTCTACACTCAACTTGCCGTTGGTGTTGATGGACTCCACTCCCGTATGTTTGTTTCTGCTGAGACTTATGAGGTATATATCAGTTTTACGTTATTTATACATGTGATTGCACTTTCATATATACATTGATGTACTATGTGTGCCAGCATACCGATCCAGGGATGGCATGGATACACAGAGGCTTGGTCGTTTGAGGTCGGGTCGCTACAGAGAGTGGAAATGCTGGGAGATCTCATCACTCTTAATTAAACAGTTGGGTTTTAAATGAAACTTTGTGAATGGATTGAGTTGGGTTTACCAACTCATCCTATGCTATACAATAGTGGTAGAATAATATCTTTTATTCTAGGGAAAACTAGCTTTATACAAAAAACTAAACTTAGAGCTTTCCACCAGCCAAATTGCATGTACAAATAGGTTCATTATTCTTATGATGTGACTTGCCAGTACATTCAATGTACTGACCTACAGGGCTGCAACATCTTATGTTGCAGGATTTTTCTACGACGAGTAGGAGTTACGTTGTAGGGTTACGGTCTACACTCAACTTGCCGTTGGCGTTGATGGACTCCACACCCTTATGTTTGTTTCCGCTGAGACTTATGAGGTATATATCAGTTTTACGTTATTTATACATGTGATTGCACTTTGATATATACATTGATGTACTGTGTGTGCCAGCATACCGATCCAGGAATGACACAAATACACAGAGGCTTGGCCGTTTGAGGTCGGGTCGCTATAGAGAGTGGAAATGCTGCGAGATCTCATCACTCTTAATTAAACAGTTGGGTTTTAAATGAAACTTTGGGAATAGATTGAGTTGGGTTTACCAACTCATCCTATGCTATACAATAGTGGTAGAATAATATCTTTTATTCTAGGGAAAAACTAGCTTTATGCAAAAACTAAACTTAGAGCTTTCCACCAGCCAAATTGCATGTACAAATAGGTTCATTATTCTTATGATGTGACTTGCCAGTACATTCAATGTACTGACCTACAGGGCTGCAACGTCTTATGTTGCAGGAATTTTCTACGACGAGTAAGAGTTACGTTGTAGGGTTATGGTCTACACTCAACTTACCGTTGGCGTTGATGGACTCCACACCCTTATGTTTGTTTCCGCTGA